ATTGTCTGCCAGAGTTTTTAGTACTTTTTTATATAAATACTTACAGTGTTTGCCTCCCTATTGATAAATATGAGGTTATTAATTATTACATAAAATAGCACACTTGTTGATGTTAATATGCTTGTAGAAGATAAAGTTACTGATGTTTTAGAAAGAAAATTGGAGTTCAGTGCCACGCTGACTGTATGGTTGGGAAAACCCTGAGGTTTCCTATCACCCAGTGATTACAGAATAGGTCAGTTTTCATCATTAAGTTACAATGTTAAGGTCTGTATTCAGAAGTGTCTGTGCATCCAATAGGTAGATTTCTGGGTCCATAGGGAAACTTCTGCGCTCCTTTTACTGATCCAAGTGGCTCTATGCCAGACATTTTCCTAATTCCTGGTGGGATCTGAGAGGGAAAGGACTATCTGGGAGCTTTTCTGTATTATGCTACAGACCATTCTCTCCCTCAATAGCCCTGAAATCTCAAATATTGAAAGGTCTCCACTTAATGACATTCCCAGTTGTGCAACAAACCTGTTGAGAGGGGAGCACGCTGCATTGATCATGAGGGGAAGTCTAGACTGTTCAACAGTTTTACTGGAAAACAAGTGATTTGAAAGGCTGGGGGAGGGCGAGCTGATAAGCATTAGTAAATAGTGCTTAATGAGGTACTTGGATATGCCTCACAAGACGATCTCTAGGACGTGTTGTCAGAGATTTGCACTCTGACTGTACAAAGACCATTTTACCACCTACTGCTTGCGAAGCCAAGATTGCCACATGCGAGTTATGCGCGATGACCTTCATACCATCTCCTGCTATCACAGGCTCCGTGTCAGCCACACATTTTGGAACTGTTGTAGGCTTTCAGTGCTATTATGGGGATAGTTTCTGGTTTGTATTTTCAAGATCAGGTGAGCACTAAAGTCTGGCATCTTGTTCAGAGGGTTGTGCTCGGGGGATCTGTGGATCTGAAGGCCTTGTGATACAGGCGGGTCAGTGACCAGAGCACAAGCAAAGGGGCACAACAATGGGTTTGTCATGGCTTTGCACTGCTATCTGAACATTATCTCAGACAGTGTTCTGTGCAATAGTTTGAAACTATTCCTACTAAAGTTGGAAGTTTTGCCACTGATTTCAAGGAAATAATTAAAATTTTTTAAAGAAATGGGAAATATTAATTCATTCTCATTAAAATTTATGGGGTATGAGGTACAAATGTCTTCTGAAGATGTAGTTCTTCTGAAGATGATAATACTATTTTTATGAGTAAAATGAGCAGTTTTTGCCCTTTGCATAATTTGAACATTTCAAATATCTCTGCAAAATATGAAATGTAAAATGAAAACTGTTTTTGCTTCTACATTCATGGGGGTTTGTAAGGTCTTTATCTTGAGTTGAAAATGACAAGTCATTTTAGAAGGGCAGCATCTGGTGCAAAGCAACCGTCAACTTAATATTTCTTTAATATTTTTGGATACAGGTGACAAAATATTTTTAAAGGAAAAAATGGTATCACAAATAGTTCATATATCTTTTACCTAAAATTGCATCTTCAGGTGAATGTGAAAAATTTCTGTAGCAGTTTCAATGGTAATATGGGAAATGGCGTTTAACATTGCTATTTGAAAACCCAGCAACTTTACTGCACTTTGTTGTGAAATATTCAAAGTAGAAAAAGGATCATCTTCATTTTCATTTATGCAAATTACCTGATAAAATCTAAAATCAGAGCATTTAGCATATATAAGTGAAGTATAAATTTATTCCTCTTCACTTTTTCCATAGCAATAGTTTGAATAAGACAAACCAGTAATATTAGGTTTGTCATGCAGTGCTTTCCTAAGTTACCAAATTAAATCAAACATTCCTAAAATACGCACTTATTGTTATGTTCAAAGACAGCTACTTTCCTTTAACTGTATCTGGATGACTTTCCCTTGGGAAGTAGTGTTCCATATGAAACACCAGATAATTGTAATATCTTTAGTGAAGAGCTCCAAACCCCCTTTCTGGTAGGCTCTTTACTGTCCTGTTGAGGCAGCTTGAGGTAAGGAATGATCTGGTTTGCTGTCACCCCCAGTTTCACCCAGGCTTTGCGTGTTGGTGCAATCTGCGGGATTCAGATTTTTTAAACTCAGATGATCTTTCTTTAGGTTCTGCATCCTGCAGAATATTGGACTGGAACCTGTGTGGCATAAACTGAAGATTTCAGACTATTTGTTTGTAGCCCATGCTGGAGTGTTTCTGTAGACCAAGACAGGCTGGACTTTGATTGTTAAACTGGGCTCCTGAAGATGTATATAAGCATTCAGGGCTGATCCTACAAGACAAAGTTTGTAAATGTTGAATCAGTCTTACATTTGATCCTAGGTCTGTCAGAACTAAACTCAAGCTCTGCAAAATATCTAGTCATAGACTGGGATATATTTCTGTCAGTAACATGCTGTCCTCTTGATGCACAGGGGGAGTAGAGAAGCCATAGGCATTTGTTTTAAATATATTACCTCAGAAAGAAACAGGAAGAAATAATACAGGGAACAATTTTCCTTACTTAAGTCCCAAAATAAATATATTTTTAACCCAAAAATGTATTTATTGGCACTGATAGCCTTTGGCCCTACTCCAGTGGACTTTTCTCAGTGACATCAATGGAAGAAAGGTGGGCTCTGCATAGGAAATCTATGAATATTTTTTCTTCATCATCCATCCATCTATTTTGGGATGTGCTAAATGCCTGTTCTCTGTTGTAACATTAACATCAGTATGTGGAAACTTGGGTGCTAAAATAAATCAGTGAAATGCAATATACATGACTTCACATGGAACTACGTGTACATTGTTGAGCACAAGCGCCCTGTGCCCGCTCTGCCGTGCCAGCTTTACAGCCAGGTACGCCCTGTTGTGTCCCACATAATGGGGTGCTGTGGCAAAGCAGGCATAAACTGTGTGCTGCCAGTATATACAGAGCCTCTGTAGTTCCTGAGCTGGCAAAATGTTTTTTGGTTGCCATTTAATGACAGTAAAATTGATACTTTTACCAACCTCAAATTATATGGGGATGATAAGATCTTTAATATTTCACAAAAGCATTTTTTGTATTGTGGGCCTGATCAGGTGTTTTCTGAAGGCAATGAAAATGTTATTAGTGATGTGTGAGGCCCTGATTTGTGAGGCAACTGTCTCTCTTTAGTGTTTGTAAGTTAGTGATACAGGCATCCAACTTAACCTGGGCCATTTTTCTGACCTTAGTAGACACCCTCCTGTATCATGCTAGTATGAATTAGCACATTCTCAAATTCATTTGATTTTTATTTTTACTGGAAAAATGAAAGGGATAAGCTCAATCTTTGTGGGCTGGAGTGTTTCCTGCCCATAGTGAAATCAATAGGAGACCTTTACGAGGTTGGACTTTGAAGATACCGAGGGGACAGTCCTGCCTTGGAGTCCCCTCCGATCCGTGGGAGTCTGGCCTGCTCCACCGAATGGTCCTGAACCTCAACACTGATTTATCATCAACCATGAGCACAAGCATCTGGATGTGGAGGAAATCCCCATGGCTGCTACCTTTTCTGTGCCTCTGGGACAGGGAAGATCAGCAAGCTTGAAGCACGACTCTGCCTCAGGAAGAAGGAGAAGCAACTGCGCTGCTCTGCTCAACACAGGGCAGCTTGCCCCTCTCCACAGAACATTGATCTTCAAGGCCATACATGATTAAAGGAGTCAGAGATATTCCCTGGAAATAGCTGTTCCCTCTTTACTTTTCCTGCTTGAAAGGTAAGAATTGTACAAATTCCCTTTTTAATAGTGACTTAACAGAGAATACAATGATAATCTGTCATCAGAGTATTTAGAGCTGATGATGATATCTAAATTGGTTTTCAGTGTGTTTTTCATTTTATTTTACTGTTATGTTTATACAAAAGCCATAAATCATAGGTTGTTTCACACTGGTTGTAGCTGCTGGATATTCTTATCCAGATGCACAGAAGTGCTCTGATTGTTACTTTCCAATGACAACCTGCTCAGGGCTTAACATTTTTCAGTTGCATGGAAAGCTTTCAAGGTTACACATATATACTGAATGAAACACAGCCCACTGGTTATTTTTAGAGAGCTCTAAACAAGAAGTAAATCCCTGGAGCAGTGCTGCCAGAGATGCATAAAGTTCAAATCCAAATTAAAACTGCCTATCTTTGGCCTAAATTCCAATCTGAACTTGAGGAAAACTGTGATCTATAACTTGAACTTTATGACAAAAAATCCTTTGCAATTAGTTTCTAGTACCTGAGAATACATGAGTGTGGTACAAACACTTGAAAATTAGAAGTTGAATGAAAAATGGGAACATTTGTCCAAAAAGGTAGTACTTGGTCTTGCGAGATACTGTTGTATGACTTTAAGTTTCAGTAGCTGCACTGGAATTTGGAGAGTCTAATTTTTTGTGATCCCTAGTTTTAATACTAGATCAAGTCCTATAATATAATTGTAAATTCTGGGGGCAGGAGGAGAAACATGCTTATTTACTGATACCTTTAATAATGACCTATGATGCTCGGGTCTTGGTTTAGGAATCACCAAGATAGAACATGGGGAAAGTAGATCCCTTTTCAGCAACATATTTATGCAAAGTAGGTGAAAGTAGTGCAACTGAAGCATGTTCTTGATTTCTTTGCTGAATCAGAGCCTGTATCTTCTTCCTGCCAAGGCAGCAATCTAATACCACTCCTAAAGGCACTAGTAATTCTAGAAGTCCTAATGAAAGTCAAGATAACACCACGGATTTTATAAATAAGGGTCTTTATTTAGAATACTGTTGAAAACATTCTTGGCAATCACATCGTATAAATATATAAAGTTAAAGTTTGACACAACAAACCAAGCAATATTAAATATTTTTAAATTTTCCCCCTTTTTGTTTTAATTTTTGATTTCATTTCTTTTTTTTTCTTATCCTTTTTTTCCTTTTTTTTTTTTTTTTTTGCAAAGCAACTCTTATTTACAATTATACAAAAAAATTAAAAAAAAAATGGTCCACAACCTTATTTTGGCCAGAACAGGAGTAATAGGAAGGATCTCTCATGCCACTGCTGTTCTAGATTTCTATTTTCCTCCACATTCAACAACCAGGTTCCTATTCCCCACAGCCCAGATTAAACATTGGCCATTTCGTGGTATACAATTTTATCTCTAGTCATATTAAATAACTTTAACAACCAATAAATAACTATGTGTATTTTGAAGTGATACAGGTTTGAAAAGTTATATATTTGAAGGAATTTTGAGTGATATTTTAAAACTGGAACAAGTCTTAAGAAGTCTTTTCAATCTTAGAAGGCAGGTCTCAAGCAGGGCCAGATGGAGCAAATTGTTTTCAGTGCAGTCCAGCTGGACTGGCCCTTACAGCACTTGGTAGATGGGGTTGCTGCTGCTGTTATCCTGGGGAAGTGGGGTGCAGTTGGTGGGGGAAGGAATTTGGGCTCCACTATCATTCAGACTCACTCCTTCTGGGGGGGAACAGGGACTCCCTTCAGCAACAGTTTCCACTGGAGGCAGTATAGGACATGTGGAATTATCTGTAGAAATCCTCTCTACAATGCTTGAGAGGCAATCGAGACTGGACACAACAGAACTCTTCCCATGCTTTGGATCTAAAAAACACACAAAAAGGTGCTCAGATTATCCAGTGGGTACTTAACATTAGTAGGCACTTGTGAGTATGTGAAGATTCAGAGGAAATTAATATTAGTGAAGGATGCCAATTATTGGAAAACAGAGATTGTAATTGCAAAATGGAAGAGAGGCCCAACCACAATGTGCTGCTCTGAGGCCATGGCTTCACTTAGTCCATAGAAAGTGAAGATTTGAAATCAATCCGAAATTTCTCCAGTTTGGATCAATGACACATAGAGTAGGAAGAATCTTCATGCAAAACATGGTTAAACACAGAAACTTAGTTGCAGAGAGGAAAATACATTTATCCAAATGTTGTATTTGCAAAATAGGAAACGCGGCTATAAGATATCCTCATATTTGCAAATACATCTAGAGGAAATTCAATGCCTCTCCCGGCAGCAACAGCTTGCTGGCTGGAAAGGCAGGTTCCTCTTTCAGCCCAGCTGGAGACAGAGCGGGCACAGGGCAGTTTGCTGCACTGCCTGCCTCTGTCTCCATGTTCCACACTGCCCTTACGGCACGTACTCACCATTTGGTGATTCCGTGTAGTAGCTGCTGTCATAGCTGTTTCTTCGGCGAGAGCTGCACGGAGGCCCGCTGTACTCCATCTGGAAAGGAGAGAAATCTGAGTGAGGTCACTGCACTTAGAGAAATCCCAGTATTTCAATCTTTAGTCTAGGCCATCATTCCAGTCCTGGCTGAAATGCCGTCAAGTTGTAGTTTCTTCGAATGAGGAAAAAGATAAGTGGATCCACCCCAGAATATTTTATGTGGCACAGCTGTTCCACAGGAAAGTTACCACTATTGCATCAAATGCTGAAGCTTTACAGATGATATGAGGCTTTCCAGCATTCTGATCAGATACAGCCCTACATGTATTTTCAGCTTACAACAGGGAAACTGAAAGGGCAATGAGATCTTTTAGTTAGTTTCTGAAGATTTTTCAAAACATGAGTTCCTCTTAAAAAGCTTCTGTCTACCCTCATCCCTTTGTATTTCCTTTAGTTTCTTTTCCCATTTCCATTTTGTTCAGAAAAATCTCGAAAACATTGACCAATATGTTTGTTTCCATTACTTTAATCCCTAATGAAATTACTCTTTGTGTTAAAAGAGGCTGTATTTTGAAGAGGGATCATTTGGGTAAATCTTTTTTCCAGTCTGTCAACTATCTTATAATCACAGATATTCAACTCAGTAATGATTATTTCCACCAGAGCACAGAAAACAAACTCCAATTTTAAAATGCTGTTGATATCCCATCCAGATATCTGTCCTGCACTCCAGTCACTGTGTCCCACACCCTAGAATCAGACCAGAGTCTGCACCTATAGTCCCAGTCTAAAGATGTGATGATGAGACACCCCCTCTGGCCCCCACCCTTCTTCTCCCATCCCCATAATGTACAAACAGCACTGAAAGCCTGGATTCTCCTTCCTATTGCTGGTAAATGTCTATGGAGGGGATGAAGTGAGTGAGAAGAGAAATAGAGAGCAATTTTCTTATGGATCAAGAAAAACAACTCCTGTTGCTTAGACCCTCCTCCTGCTATCCTGATGAATGGTAGAAAACAAGATTCCCATGTAACTACTATGTCCAAGAGGGCCCTTCCTCTCTGCTTTGAATCTGTAGAGGATTCAAAGATAATGATACAGCAGAAGATGGAAACAAGAGATGCCTCAGGAGCTACAGGAGCACAGGTAGGGCTCAGACCTCACCATGCCCCCATGTACCCATCCCAGGCAGCTTCCCAAAGTCCCCAGGACACAGGGGGACCTGCTTAACTTCTCATCCCTGGAAAAAAGTGTGTAAGAGATTTTTCTTCTTTCCCTGAGATCGTGGGATGTGGGAACCCCACCTCCCTTTGCCGTGGGAGTTCAAGGCATGAGAGAGGACTTTGTCTTCTGCCTGGAGAGGTACAGAAGGCAGCTGCTATAGGAAAGGCAGGAAGAGGAGACTTGCCCTGCTCAGGTTTGGACTGACAATGTCCAGCACACCTTGGTGGCAGGGAGTCCTCCCTGGGGCACTCACCATGCCGTCAGAGCAGTTGGAGCGGGGGCTGGAGGCATCCGATTCCCCGCTGTAGTGCTCCAGCACGGGGTAATAAGCATCCTCCTGCTCCCGCAGCAGGGCCTGCAGGCTCTCGATGTAGCGGATGGCATTGCGCAGGATCTCCACCTTGGGCAGGCGCTGGTTGGGGTTGGTGGAGGTGCAGCGCTTGAGGGTCTCGAAGGCCTCGTTGACCTTGCTGAGCCGCCGCCGCTCCCTCATGGTGGCGGCCTTGCGGCGGTCGGCGTTGGTGGTCTTCCTCTTGCAAGCCTTGCACGCCCACAGCAGGCAGCGGCCGGCCTGGTGGTGCCCACTGGGTGCCCGGACATGCTCCTCCTCGTGCCCATGGTGATGTCCATGGTGGTGTGGGTGCTCCTCGGGCTTCAGAAGACCCCCCACGTGCACCAGCCGGGGGTCCAGGTCCTCAAAGAAGTGCATGTCCGATGTGTTGAAGCACGGGTCATCATAGAAGTCATCAGCAGTCGTGGAAAGGTTAGCAGAGGGAGCCGCTACGTCAGTCTCCATGGGGCCAGTAAGTCCCATGGGGGCGGCAAGAACGGGTCAGCGGCTGGCCAGCAGGGGAGAGCGAGGGATCAAGAAAAGGAGGGGGCTTCCATCCGGGCGGTTCCCGTGGCCGGGCGGGGGTGCGCGGAGCAGAAGACCCTCGCAGCCTCTCCCGCGAGGCCACCAAGCGCTGCCTTGCTGCCCCGGCCCCCTCCCCAGCCGCGCCGGTCCTGGAGAGTCCACTGCGAGGCCGTATTTGGCCGAGCCCCCAAGCGCGGGCGGGTCGGGACGGGACGGAGCGGGTCGGGGGGCGCGGTCCGGGCGGGTTCGGGGACCGGGGTGGCGGGTAGGGGCGAGGTGTCCGCGGGCCGCTGGGGCAAGCCTGCGCGCGGCCCAGCCCCGAGCCCCAGCCGCCCGGGCCGCTCGGCGGCTGCGCGGATGCGCTCTTTTCGCCCCTGCTTTTAGCTATGAGCAGCCCCGCGCCGCCCGGCGCGCCAGGGGGAGCGAAGGCGCCCCGAATGCCGAGGTAGCCGGGAACCCCGCCGCCCGCCCGGGGGACAGCGGCGCGCCCCCGCTGCATCCCGCACGGCACCGCACACTGCCGGCGGCCTTTCCGCTGGCTTGCTCGCAGGAAGAAGCCCCCGGCGCCGGGAACAGGTCCTCTCCCGCGCCGGCCGAGGCTCTGCGGCCCGAGGGTAACTACTGCCGAGAGCATTCAGTGAGAGCGGGCCGTGCCAAGAGGCGCGGGGACACTCAGCGGAGAGCCGGGACGCGCAGGAGGCCACCCCGCACGGTAGCCCCGAGGCACCCGCGGAGAGCGGCCGTGCGGGAGCAGCGCGACGGGCGGGTCGTGGCCGCGGTCCCGCACGGCGGCCGGGCCGCCTTGTGGGGGGGCGGTGTCGGCTTTTCCCCTCGGCTTTTCCCCTCGGGAAAAGCCGCTGTGCCCGAGGGCCGTGGAGTGCGCCGGCCTTTCCCTCGGAATTCAGGTGTCCTTGTGTAAATTCGCATTTCAGGTTCCTCTTTCAGCTCGAGCCTCTGTTTACCTTTACTCTGGAACCTTTGCAGAGGTGGAGTCCGCCCCGTGCAGAGGCGTTTCACACTGCAGTTGGATAGCAGCGGCAGTTTGGAGCTTGGAAAAATAGGATGGGTTTTGGTAACGCCTCTCAAGGGTGCTAAGAGTTTTTACTCTGTTTTTGGAATATCGTTTGAGATGAGAAATTAGGTTCTTTTCAGAGGCACTTCAGTAATTCAACTATATGATTTCGTTGACTTCATGGTTGAAATAGTTACGCATATTTTTAATGTACCAAGAGCTACAATTAATCTCTGTTCTGCAGTTATAAATACTGCTGAAATTTTAACTCTTTCAAAATCAATGGCAAAGCTCTGTCTTCAGTGGACCAAGGACTCACAGAATCTGAAAAGGTAAAAGACATCCATCAATGATCAACCCCCAATCCCTGTGCCTATGACTTCTCGTAGGGGCTGTCGTGATGGTGGTTTCTTTTGTTGTTATATGATCTGGTTTTTTGCAAAAATTCCTAATCTGCAGTCCCCATTTTCTATTTACTTAAATGTTTTCAAGTACAGACAACAATAAGAACTGTAAGTCACCTTCTATCATTATCCCCAAAAGATAAAAGTTTTATTTAAAGATAAAACTATATGTTTTGGACTCTGTACAAGTCCGCTCTTTCACTGTATCCACTGCTGAAAAGCGATATGTCCCAAGGAGATCGGCTATTGACCACCCTTACACATTTAGAAATATATCTCCCAGCTGTCTCTGAGAGGCAGAGTAGCAAACTTTTGGAAACATTTCACTGTTATTACACAGGTTCTTTGATCCAGAAGGAATACACAGATTTATTTTAAAATCTTTATTGAACAGTTAATAAAGTAAAAATAATTTGTATTCAAAGTAGTGCAAGGCATACAATAATGCAAAGTATAAATGAGAAATAGTTGTATGCCGTAACATATTCTAACAACTAATCATGTAAATTTGGATATCAAGGCTTGGTGCTGGCAGTCTGACCCACTCTAGACACTTAAAATCTTTCCAGACCATTGTTTTAATCTGTGGAAAAGGTAATTTTATCTAACATTTAGTCAGTATTGTGGCCTATTCTGCCACTGCTCAATTCTAGCTTGTATGTAACCCCAGGAAAAGATACTCTGGGACTTGAGCACATAGCGGTTACCTTGGGCAATGTGGTAACAAATGGTGAGACTTTGACAAGCACTCTGAGGAGTTTGCCAGTATTTGCCCATGAATGCACTTAAGTGCATGAACTCACCCAAGTGCAAAGGTCAGGAGAAGGCCATGACCAGATGGTGAATTCCGTGCAGTGATCTTCCAGTGAAGGTGCCCTTGAGGACACCTTCCTCTGGTGTTGGACCAGATGACCTCCAGAGGTCCCTTCAACCCTAACAATTCTGTGATTCCCTGCTGCTGCCACCAGAACTAACATCCGCTTTCCAGTATTTCCAGGTTTGTCCAGAAAGATGTTGCCTTGTACAATGGGGCCTGAAAAAAAGTCCTTGCAAAGAACAGATCCTGAGATGCTTTTCTTAATTTTATGTGGCCATAGTGAAGAGGACGAAGGACGGCATGATCTCCACTTGGAGACTTTAAGTGCATTTCTCACTGAGAGTCAGAAACCATAGCTAGTGCTTATGGCAAGTATTACAAATATTCTATTGTTAAACCTCTTTGGAAGCCTCTGTGGCTCTAACTCTTAATTTCAGTAAAGATTAGGTCTCTCCAGAGATTCCAGTTTGGAATCTCTTTAGGGAACTAGCTATTCAGAGCTTCCCCAGATTGTGTGTTTGGATGGTTTGGGCATCGCTTTGGAAGTACAGATATTTAGAGTGTATATGAACAAGCATTCAGCAGAGAAGGAGAATTTGTAAAGTTTCTATAAGCACTGTTCCCCTTACACCTGTTCCACATTTCATCCTTCGTCTCCTTTTTTCAGGAGGTGATTGAAAAGGAAAATGGGAAGTCAGAGGCAGATTGTACTTATGCTGAGAAGCGTGGACAGACTCACCCTATCTATACACAACAGACAGGTATTATTAACAAATCTGAGACCATATTCACAAGCATATGTGCCCTCAGCAGAAGCAGCATGTGGACAAGAAGAGCTTATTATCTACAGTAACTGATTTCTCTTTTCTTTTTCAGAAGATAGAGACTGGGAAAACAGCTGATTGTGAGGCTATCTGTCTTTTCAGGCAGAGGGCCCAGAAAGTGAATTTTGGAAAAGGGAGAGAGAAAGCCCTAAATTCTGAGAATCTCTGAATACATTTGGCTAGAAGATGAGTATGAGAAGCCTGAGAAATGGACACGGTAGTATTTCACAGAAAAATAAGAGGTAAGTCTTGCTTTGAAAAATTTCGATGTTAGGTTGTTATGTTGGAATTTGCTTAAGGTAAAAGACAGTCTTAAGTGCAGGAAACCATCGAGAAGGCTGTACCTACATTTCAGAAGGTACCAACTCTTAAAGGAGAAGGTTGTTGTAGGAGTAGGTCAAACATTACCAGTAGTGTTTGAAGGGGTTTTATATAGCACTAGTTTTATACTTCAGTTAGTAGCTTTGCTCTGTTCACACTTAGCAAGCTGTATTTTAATACTGAGAGGGACGGATTCCATTGCTCTTATTCATGTTGAGTTGCAGTCAGTGGAACTAATTGTTGAATAAGGTATGCTCAGCATGAGAATGGGTGATGGAATCTAGCCCAGATGGAAATAGCTTTTAAACCACTGCTGTTTTAGAGAGCAGCCATCTCAACATCGGCAAATCCAGCATGTTGGTAAAAGAGCTTTGAGCCATTCTTCTGGCACATTGCAGTACTCTTATAGATGAATACAGGGGTTGTTTTAAAGTGGTTGTGTGTCCCCCCTCCACTAATGTTGAATCCCATTAACAAAAAGATTGGGAAAGCATCTACATTGTAATTGTCTGTCCCGTGTTACACCACCAACAGAAAGTAGGTGGGCTTTGCAGAAATTGCTATTCAACTGCAGCTGTGTATAAACAGCAGAGTTTACAGAAAATGTTTCATTGTGCAGTGGTTTTGTAGTAATGAAGTTTTCCGGCATCTATTTTTACTCTGTGGCATACTCTTCCATCAAACTTTCTTGCATGAAGAAAAGTACTGGTGAAGTTTTGTATATGTATGCAAAATCTCTTTGAGAATAATACCAGCATACTTGGCTGGTGAATTGAGGAATAAAATGGAGAGGCAAAGAACCATTTGTAACATTGAACTGAATTTATTTTCAAGAATAGGAGTATCACTTACAGTCTTACATGAAAGTGTGAGACAATCTTTCAATGAATCAAACCCCAATTGCATAAAAGATATTGTGTATAGCGACAAAAAAAAAACAACCTAGCTGCAGGCAGCTGATCTAGCCAGTTGCTCTTCTGAAGTGACCTTGGGAGCCAGGGTACAAAAAGCAAGGCACTCCTGCAGGAGACGAAGGAAAAGAATTTGGACACCTCTGAACTTTAACCAAACTGGCTAATACTGCCCCAACTGAAAGGCAAAACTAATGAGTGGTCACTCTCTCTGATGCAATACTAGTTAAGTGTGCTGCTTTTTCACTAGGATCTTATGCCTCTACTTGGGACCAAATAGGGAATACAAGAAATAGCAGGAGTAGCATAGTAATACCGTAATTGAGATAGCTGAAATAGGGGTCTGTATGAAAACTAAAGCAACCATCCTAGGTTAAGTCTGGATAGAGCCCTAGAGCTAGTGTCTTGTGACACTTGCAAAATATCCAGTAGAACCTGTAAAGATCTCAGCTAATGAAAACTCCCAATTTATTTCTCATCTGAAATGCCAACTAGGCACATAACTGTTTTCTTATTCCAGCATGTTTTCTGATTCCCAGTGTTGAGGAAATGTTTGCATCCTTCATCCTGAAGAAGTAAATTATTCATCCTGATACGAATTATTTTGACTACTTATTTAAATTGCTACTATGATAGAAATAAGAAAATTTTGTTTTAAACCAAGTCTTTTTAAAAACAAGTTCATTATGCTAGTATACTTGTTAGTAATGTAAAATATCTAATATATATATATTCAGGAATATAAAATATTCAGGAATATAAAACTAAATATTTGGATTTCCTGCCACATAAAAGTTTCCTTGTACTAAAGCTGCAGTGGTTTCTTTTTTTTTTTAATAAAAATTATATATACTGTTTAAAAATTGCACTAAATAATTCTGTTAATCATTTAAAACAGAAAAGAAGCTTAAAAGCTTTTGGTTTCTAGGAAGAATTGCATAGATTAAGTGTGACTAGTGCTGACAATCTAGGTAGCTGGCAACCTTGCTATCATTTAAACAAAATAATGGTATGGGCTAGATTCTGACTCAATAGAGGATGAGGGGGCAGGGTGTAAAGCAGGAGTGATACAGGATCATGTCTCCTGAGTTCTGGTCCCAACTCCACCCTCTGTAAAGGTTTGCCTTAGGAGCTGCCACGTAGCAGCCACAGCATTACAGGCCCTCCCTGCCCTGCTTCACTTTTGCTCCTGTCCCATTGTTACACTGTGGCAGCATCGTAGTGCAGTGTATAGTTGCATATATTGGCCCTATGCCATTTCTGTGCTGGGAAGATTCTCTCTGGGGTCGCTTCAGACCTTCTGCAGCTCCTGTGCACTGCTGCAGAGGCGGGCAGGGGCTGCAGTGATCACTAGACTCTGGCTCTATGCTTGTTCTGAACTCTTTCTGCAACCGGTCCATGAAGTAATCCCCGAGACTATTTCTGCCATCTTGGGAACAGTCGAGCCTGCGAGCATTGGTGAGTAGATCTCCCATTAGCTTGATCTTCTGGATTTTGGGCGCAATAAATTGCTTCTTCATAGTGCTTGCACTATGAGGGTCTGCATTTTCAACACTCAGGGCATAAAGCTCTTCAAAATATCGTAGCATAGTTTTCCACTGTACCATTGCTAATTCCAGGGCTTTCATCAGACCGACTGCATAATCACAGTTTGGTTTCTAAAAACAAAGACAGAATTGTATTTATTCAGAACAGTTGATCTTACTGTATTCATCAGTGGTTTCCTGCAACTTAATCTGGTGCTCCAAACAAGTTGTATTAGGATTTTGCAACAACCCCTAGTTTAGAGCATCTGTTTTTTACAGAGTGCCATGGCTGTGAACACATACAGGTAGCAGGGGCCAAGCACTTTTTCAAGGAATGGATTTAGATAGCAGCAGCTATGTCTGAGGAGCATTCTTACACCAGGAAACCCAATCACAGAATGGCTGGGGTTGGAAGGGACCTTAAAAAATCATCTCATTCCAATCCCCTGCTGTGGGCAGGAACACCTTTCACTTGACCAGGCTGCTCAAAGCCCCATCCAGCCTGGTCTTGAACACTCTCAGGGATGGGCCATTCACCACTACTCCGGGCAACTTGTTCCAGTGTCTCACCACCCTCATAGTAAACAGGTTCTTCCTAATCTAAATCCACCCTCTTTCAATTAAAAATTCTTATCCCTAATCCTATCACTGCACTCCTTGAGAAAGAGTCCCTCCCTCTATTTCCTGTAGGCGTCCTTTAAGTACTGAAAGGCCACCCTAAGGTCTTCCCCATTTCAAACTGACAATTTAGAAAGATTTTCACAATGGCCTTTACTTTCTACAGATTAACAACTGCTATGATGGACCAAAAAAGAGCATTCTGTATTAATTATTTAAAGAAAACTAATTTGGTAGAGGAGAATCAGCCCCTTGGTCTTAAATAAATGAGGTGGGTTATTTTTTCCCCTGAAAACTTTGAGTTATTCTTTTGCAAGTGTGCACCTGTGCAAGCCCAAGTTAAATCTGTAGTTCACATTCTGTCCTGAGCTGTGCTTTAGCAAATCAACTACTGCCTCAAGCTGGATGTTTCTTCTACCTCCTTCCTTACCACCTTTCTTACGTGCTAATCATGTCTAGGCTTCTACTTAGTGTGAAGGAGACAAGTGGGCTGTTTCAGTACAGTTTAAGGAGTCTCATAATCCGTCACAGCACACTGGAAACATCAGTGTCCAGCTGAGTAAAAGGAAAGGAGAATACTGTTCATATTCTTTTGGGCTAGAATGCAACCACATAGTGTTAGGACTGTATGTCTGACAGTTTCTAAGCATGGCAATCAAGAACAAAACCGTGTACACTAATATGTCAGGTAAATTATATCTGGAAATCTCATAATGGATGAACGCAGAGATCTGAAGTACCAACAATGTAATTCGATAAGGTAAATGGACTGCAGCTGCTTGAAAGCTTGCTGTCTACTACCCACCTGGATGGTTTTAGAACAGTAGTGGCCTCCTCTTTCTTGCTGATACTTCATCAATGCCTCTGCAGCTTTTCTCTCTTCCAGAGCTTGATGCAAGAAGAACTTTGAAATATTTGGTAGAGCCACATGTGACTGATCAAAATATTCACCCTAAGCACACAAAACAAGAGCGTTAAGATTTGCTGGAGATGGGACTCACTTGCAGAAGAACGTGGCTTTATTAGAACTTTGGAAACCTTAATCCAAAGGTTACAAATTTCTACAATAAATGAAGTAAGTAGTTATGGCCTGAAATGAAAAATCTCTGTACTTCTACTAGAACTCCTGCCCTGTAATACTGGGTAGGCAACTGTAGTACTGATGCTACTCTCTCAGTAGCAGTCAGAGATCCTCAAAATGTTTTATTTATGAATGGTTAGCATGTGTGTGTTTTGTAATTGTGTTTTGTCTAGGGTTTTTGATTTGTTTTTTAAACATACTGGCAGCACAGGGAACATAAAATTTATCCCTGCAGGTCAGCATTCCAGTCAAAAGTTAGCTTTCAAAGGTATGAGAAAGATGATGTAAATACCAAAAAGAGAACAAGCATAACTTCATATCTATTTATCAGCTTCATTATAGATATTATTCCAAAATGATGAATACTGCTACTTAACTGTTCTGTATACACCTTCATTATACATAGCTCATGCCTAGGAAGGCATGTCAGGAAGGACATTGACCTGTTGGAGCAAGTCCAGAGGAGGGCCCCCAAGTTGATTAAAATTTTTCCTATGAGAAAAGGCTCAGAGAATTGGGATTGTTCAGCCTGGAAAAGAGAAAGCTTCAGGGTTACCTAACTGTTGCCTTCCAATAGCCTACAAGAAAGATGGAGAGAGCAGGTAGTGACAGGACAAGGAGGAATGGCTTCAAACTGAAAAAAGGAGAGCTTTAGATTACATATTAGTAAGAAATTCTTTACTGTGAAGGTAGTGAGGCACTGGAACAAACTGCCCAGGAAAGCTATGGATGCCCCATCCCTGAAGTGTCCAAGGTCAGATTGGAGCTCTGAGCAAGCTGGTCTAGTGGAAGGTGTCCCTGGCATGGCACTAGATGATCTTTGAGGTCCTTTCCAGCTCAGGCAATTCTATGATTTCAGAAGTATTACAACCCTAACCCCACTGCAGGCCTTGTTCTGTTCTGTATGGGAAAACAACAACTTTAACCACTGCCATATTTAACTGTGCTAACAGACATATCAGCTCTTACATTAGAAGAGTTTTATCCATGGCATTGCTGTCCCATAAACAGAGTGTATTAGAGACAGGGAGCAAAGCAGAGCCACCAGCTTACACTGTTTTGAACACTGGCTCTGATGGTGAGGAGAACAAGAGGCAGCAGCTGTGACTATGCCAAGAACCAAACTGAGGGAGCCACAGCATCTTCATCTGCTGGTTCCCTGAATATGCATGTGCAACACAGCACAGCTTTTGCCTCTTGGATATAAGTCTGCACTGGAATGAATACCTGTAACTGTGTATCAAGCAGGCTTGAAGCCTGCCTAAGAGGGGTAAGGAACAAGGACATGCTTTTCTTAAGTTCTGCTTCTGATTGCCTTCCCTGCTTTCATCTATTACCCTGCTTAAATATGAAATATATTTATTTCAGTTATGTTGCTCTGTTTAGAAAAAAAAAAGAAATGTTAAACACACAAGTTTATGTTTATTTCTTCTATTTGTATGGCCATTTGAGACAACCAAAACCTGTGACACATGTACACATGTGTGACCACAAACCCTTCAAGAGAAAGTACACACTGGAATGTTTTATTAAGAACATTCACTGCCATAGTTTGCATAATCCTTGTTTCCTGAAGTCACTCATTGATGTTTCTGTTGACAGGATAGTCAAGATTAGTGTTTTATAATCAGTTTCTCAGTGTGAGGCATGACTTCAAGTGGAGCACAAGTCAACACGTCTGCTTAACTGTTAAGGTAAATCTTTTATGTCAATAATTAGAAATTGACTGTGGATAAATCAAATCTAGAAATGTAAACATCCTAAATAGTTAACTGAGCTTTCTCCATCCCATCCCACTGTCAATCACTAGAATTTTTTTTAATCTACAGGCTTAGCAGGTACAGGTTTTACTGCATACTTAAATTTTTATTGAACTAATATTTGACACCAAACTCAATTGAAGGCTCTTGGGGATACATTCAATATAGTTTGTGCTGTTTCCCAGTGGATGCTTGGCATCAGGAGGTATAGCATCGATAATTCTGATTTTTATATTTTAATGGCTGTGTTAAAATATATGTTGCCCTAACATTTGATAGGTAGCCGGAAGTAATTTTGGCATGCATGTTACATGGTATCAGAGATAACTTTTTTAATTTCACGTCTAAAGTTCATGCTGTGGAGCAGAAAACCCTAAGCCGGCAGCGACGTTCACAAACTACAGTTAACCTCGCACAACTATTTTACACACGAAGTTTGGGGGGGGAAAAGCCACTCAAGAGTCATACTCCAGAGCTGTTAGCATTCTCTGTTCCTGTCCCTCTTTCCACAGGCAAAACTCTCTCTGAATTACCCAAAAACACACGAGCGCTCGTTTCGTCGCCCGCGTGTTCCAGACCTTCGTCGTTGTTTTTGTGGCCGTGTCGGCGCAGGGGCAGCAGCGGCTCTGGCAGGAGAGCCCCCCGATGCCCTGGGTCTGGGAACAGACACCGCTCCGCCGTCCCCTCCCGACTCCGAGACCCTCCTCACCCGCGTCCGCCGCGGCTGCCCGGCAGGGCGCGAGGGGGGTCCAACGCCGCGGCCCCGGCGCCTCCCGTGCCCGTCGCGCCCCGCCGCCCTTACCAGCGCCTGCAGGCAGTAGTGGAGCTCAGCTGGGCGCCGGTGACGCCGCAGAGCAGCGCCTCCTCCACGGCGGCGGGAAGCCGTGGCGGACGCGGCTGGCGGGCAGCGGGCGGGCGCGGGGCAGGCGGGCAGGGTGACGCGGGGCCGCTTGGAGCGCGGCTCAGCCATGGCCGGCGCCGCCATGGGGCCTGCCGCGCCGCCCCCGCGCCGCCTCATATAGCCCGGGCACCTGGGACACACCTCGCCGCGCTCCGGGAGCCGCCCGCCCTCGCCGGGGGAGGAGGAGAAGGAGGATGCGGATGTGGGGGGCCGGGCGGGTGCTGCCATTTCCTGCGTGCCCGTGGGCAGGCGGTGCGGGGGCTCTGTCCCTCACGGCGAATGCGGCGCGGAGCGGGAGCGGGCAGGTGCCGGCCGGGCCGCTCGCTCCACTGCCCGTTTGTGAACATCCTACATAGTTAATGATCGACATAAAATACTTACTTTAACTGCAAAGTAGATGTATGAACTTGTGCTCTATTTGAAGTCATGCCGCACACTTGCTCTGAGGAACTGATTATAAAACACTGAATCTTGACTATCCTGTCATCAGAAACATCAGTGAGTGACTTCAGGAAGCAAGGATTATGCAGATCCTGTGATGAATGTTCTTAATAAAACATTCCAGCGTGTACTTTCTCTTGAATGGTTTATGGTTGCACGTGTATGTGTCACAGGTTTGCGGTGTTTCAAGATACCATAAAAATATAAGAGAAAAACATAAACTTGTGTGTTTAACGTTTCTTCATTTTTTTCCCCCTAAACAGAGCAACATAAGTGAAATGAATTTATTTCGTATTTAAGCAGGGTAATAGATGAAAGCAGGGAAGGCAATCAGAAGCAGAACTTAAGAAATGCACATCCTCGTTCCTTACCTCTCTTAGGCAGGCTTCAAGCCTGCTTGATACACAGTTACAGGTATTCCAATGCAGAGTTATATCCAAGAGGCAAAAACTGTGCTGTGTTGCACATACATATTACGGGAACCAGCAGATGAAGATGCTGTGGCTCCCTCAGTTTGGTTCTTTGCATAGTCACAGCTGCTGCCTCTTGTTCTCCTCACCATCAGAGCTGTGCTGAGCCAGTGTTCGAAACAGTGTAAGCTGGTGGTGGCTCTCCTTTGCTCCCTGTCTCTAATACATTCTGTTTATGGGACAGCAATGCCATGGATAAAACTCTTCCAGTGTAAGAGCTGAGCCCATTTGCGGGTGGTAGCATTCAGCACCTCCAGTACCAGCTGCTGCGTGTGAGAGTGCGGCAAGGCCAGGCCGAGGCTGGAGCGGCTGAGGGGAGCACACAGGCAGAGGCAGTCCTGGGGAGGGACCAAGCTCTGAAAAATCCTGGGAAATTAGTGGTATGTCTGTCTTGACTACAGGGTAAATTCTGTAGCTTTTTTGATTTAGCACTAAAAATGTGGTCCTACCTAGGCAGTGTAAACCATCTTCAGTATTTTAGTAACTGATAATCCTTGGTTTGTACAGTAACTTCAAAATACAGGTTTCTGACTTCTTCAACTGCTTTACCGTATGCATGCTGCTCAGCATGTTGTTGCTTGAGCGTTTATTTACCTTTAATAGATTCAAAATAGTGGAGCGGAAATATGAGTAATCTCAACACCTTTCAAAATTGCTAACATTCTGTTCAGTGACTTTGTTTAGTAAGCTTAATGTTATATGCCGTTCTGTGGAATATTTTTCTAACAGATTACCCCACAAACCCAGGATGCTAAGGGCAGAATCGTTATTCCATTGCGTGTTTTAATTGTTATTGGATCTGACTACCTAGAGCAGAGCACGCATCATCTGAGAGTAGTCATGTAAAGATGTGAGAACATTGCTCATGAGAAACTTAAGTAATTCCAGTTCAGCGCTTCCATCTCATATGCTATTCAGCCCTCTTTGTTTACTGTAATTATCCATTTTTTCATTCTCACTCTTCATGCTGTATTTAAATTAGAAGTTTCCCTTAAAAAAACCTAACCATGTTTAAGCATTTGCTTACTTTAGGCATTTGAATAAAATTGCATGAGCGTAATGTTGCAATGTTTGCAAGGCTAAAGTAAGTGCCTAAATTAATTGTTTCATTTACTTTCAACAAATTCATTGACAAGACACTTGTTTTCAATAAGGGTCCTCTTTTTCACTGGAACTCCTACGGACGATGTACTTCTAACAGTTACCTTTTAGCTCTTTCCATTCCAACTGTCCTTGTTTTAGCCATTAAAATAGTTGTTAGTGTTTTATTATTCCAGAATAATCCTTTGACTGCCTCAGAAGAGGAAGAGCAAGTGTGGTGCCTGTGTGTGTATGCATTGACATCCCAATGGAAATAAATGCTTGATAAGCTCCTTTCTTTGGCCAGTCCGAATAATGTGAAGTGTGAAATTGCAACAGAAA